GTTATATAAAAGAATAAAGAAAATTATGAGCAGCGTTGTTTTTGTGCATATTTTCCGGCAAGCTTTGGAATCTCTCGGAAATGACGTCATCTATGATACTCATCAAAATAGTAGTCGTTATATAACCTAGTTTTGACGTTAGGCGTAACGTGTTCATCTCATCGCCAAAATGGTTTATTGTGCTGCCTTCGGTGTACAAATTCATCAAAGAATAAGTCGTCGACGCCAGGGATAAGTTTCTTCTTATTTCCAAGTGATCCGTCTTTGAGGAAACGATCGACTCACAACATGAAGTGACAAGTTTTAACCCACAAAGCACAGTCGAGTATGTTCAGCTCATTTTGACAGTAGTGAGTGTTTCGAACGAGATGCAATCGGTGGTCGAAATTTGTTGAAAAGGGGTGCTGTTCAAACGATTTTCACTTTTTATCAATGTAACCCAAGTCTTTTAAAGAAAGAGGCGCTAATAAGAATAGAAAGCGAAAAGAAGTGCGTTTACGCCATTTTTTTTTATGTCATCAGCTTCATGACATGATCGATGTTGACTTGTGTTTTTACGCTTGTTTCGACAAACGTGTCTGTGGCAGGCCTATTGAATAAGAATAAGCCAGTGCAAACTATAATACGCATGCTTAACACGCCCATTTACTACATTAGTTTCAAGATAGACAACGCCGATTTAACATGACAGTCTATGGACAGCGATGGATAAAAAATATAATACGAAGGGTTTACTACATTAACAGTTATCAAGTTATCAAGTTATTATTTAGAAAAATGTTGGCAAATACAGGTTTGCTCAATTCATGCAGTAGTCTATATCACGAGTCTGATTTTGTAAATGAAGTAAATCTTTTTACGTGGCATCGATTTGTCACGATTTGTTTTCGTTATGTTTATTTTTTTTTTGTTTTTTTTTTTGTTTTTTTGTTTTGTTTTTTTTTAGGGAACGTCCCCAAGACAAAATCGAAAATGGTATAGCATAATTGTCTTCACCAAACATTTTTAAATGACCTGGAATCAAAAATGAATATCTAACACTCAATTTTTGCTAAACCGGAAGTGATGCATAAGCCTTCGATGACCTTGAAAATTTCACTGTAGGATGTTCTTGACCTCAGCTATCCACAGGTGTGGATAATATTGGTTGAAAAATATTAACTTCCGGTTTAATAGCCATTAAAAAATTAACATTTTTGACAACTTTGGGCGGCTGTTTGACCTTTTCTAATAAACACAGAAATTTTGTAATTCCCTCTTGATTATCTTTTCAATGATATATGACAATAATCCATTAAAATATGTTTTAAAAATATTGTTTTTTTTTTTCGACTGAGGGTTCTAACTTACAATGAAATTAACTCCTAACAATATGGTTTGTATATTCAGTATCTACTCAATTTTCTCTTTTCAACGATATGTAACATGGGTGGTTTAATACAAAATTGAATTTGTGAAAATAGGCATAAAAGTGTTAAATGTTTATAAAAAAAATGTGATAAAAATCTGTAGATTGTGGGGATTAAAATGATTGACAGGTGTTATAACAGGTTATATAATATGATAGGAAAGCTATCCATATGAACTTTTGACATGCAGGTGTGAAGTAGTTTGGGTCATCAACAGATTAATCTGATTATGTAATCTTTTAACGCTTAAAAAATAACTTTTTTTTTCAATTTTTCTTTTTCAATTTTCACTTACAATAATTTAACATACACTCACATAGAGTAGTGAATTTTTGATACATTAAACTGTTCGAATTTTTTCTGTACCATT